CACACACACACACACACACACACACACACCCTCCTATAGCGACGTCCCTGGTTGTAATCAGTTCATGCTTTTGTAACAAAACTAGATTTTTTTGGACCATTTCGAAATAATTTTGTAATAATATATTTAATTTATTATATTTACGTTACTTTAGGTCTTTGCCTGGCTTGATGGCCTGTTACACTATCGTTTGGTGAACGTCGCTCCAGTCACTATGGACGAAGAACTACATGCTCCTAAACTGTTTGATTAGTAACGTCTTTTCAGTAACATAGATAATTTCTCGGTTTTGTAATTGGACCATACAAAGCATTGGCCATAAGCCGCCAAAACATTAATTTTCAAAAACCGTGCTCTGTGCATCTTAACAGAAAGAGAGAAAATCTCGGAAAGGAAATGAGGAACAATGATAAGGCGGAGTAATCTAGTATGAGAATTTTCAACCGCAATGTATTTTTCCATGAATTAAATTTTTTACAATAAAGAATTCATATCAAGTGATATGTTACAGTATAATCAGTTCTTTTTATCTGAATAATCAAGTAATTTAGGCATGAATAGCAGAGATCGTATAAGTGATACCGACAAAGGGAAAAGGTCGCTTCGCGCGAGAAAATTCGCTAGTGGAAAACCGGCTTTACGCATAGGAGGTCTTTGGCGTTGATCGACTATTTCGCTGACCTCAGACTCACATTTCGTCAAAACTTTTTTCTTCAAAATTGGTTTAGAAACGAATTTGGAGTAGGGTTAGGTTAGGGGTTTAGAATAGGGTTAATGTTAGTAAAACCGTTGCTTTGTTACGTTTTGTCATTCTGAGGCCAGCGAAATTATCTCTTCCTTGGCGTTGTGGGCTTGCACGGGAATCGAACCCGTGATCTCTCGCACCCAAAGCGAGAATCATACCACTAGACCAGTTGGCCATGCTTGTCGGAGTAAGCGAGACGTTTCCTTCACTCAGTTCGTGAAGGACTTTAAATAAAGAAAAAACTAACAAATTAACTTTAAATAAAGAAAAACTGAGTATATACTAAAAGAATCAAAGCAAATACTTGTTCAAACAATCATCCCGTGATTTCCATCGGATAATCTATCTTGATAGGCCCCTGACACCATTTTGGCATCTGACTATCAAGCCGAGTTTCAAAATCAAGTTCTAGGAGTAATAATTGATGAAAATCAGAAATGGGATAGATATAATGAAGAACAGCGCAAAATTATTTCTGAAAATGTTGCCTTGCTTAGGAAAGCAAACAGTATGTAACGCAAGATACATTATTTACAATGTACAGTGCACCGGTGCTGCCTCACCTTTGTTATTGGCTCACCATGTGGAACGATGGAAAGTGTTTTAACGTCTAACCTTACAGGCTTTTTACGCTGCAAAAGCGAGCAGCGAGGATTTGTGTAGATAGTGAGCACGGCCCTTTGAAGAGCAGATCGATCATCTGAAAGGCTAGTGCGTCTTGTAAATAAATGAAATTGACACCTGATTCTAAAACCAAATGGCAAATACGTGAACATTTCTCACCTGCCGTGATCGCATAGGGATCAGTATACATTGCAAAATACCGTTGCCTTCATATTTTTTTGCGACACTAATCAAGTACTTGTCGTCTCTGTGGCGCAATCTGTTAGCGCGTTCGGCTGTTAACCGAAAGGTTGATGGATCGTGTCCATCCAGGGACGTGCTTCGTACCATTTTGACGAGCAGTTGTATCTCCGACAAAAACTAAATTTTAGTAAAGAAAATGTTTCTAAAAATTTCAAAAACATGTTTGAAACAGAAAACTCATGCTATTATGGGCTTGCACGGGAATCGAACCTGTGACCTCTCGCACCCAAAGCGAGAATCATACACTAATATAGACCAGCAAGCCATGCCTGTCCCAATAAGCGAGACGTTTCAGTTCACTGAGTTCGTGAATGAGAGAAACCTATGCTTGGGAGATAATTTTTTACATCTAATTTTAAAACAAAGTACATTAACGTTTCAACTAAGCTGCCGTGATAGTATAGTGGTCAGTACATTGCGTTGTGGCCGCAATAACCCAGGTTCAAATCCTGGTCACGGCACATATATATTGCTGGGTTTAAGCAATTTATCCGGCTTGCAGGTTTTTCCGGAATGTCATTATTCTGCAAGTACAAAATGGCTTGAGTAAATTATAAAGAGAAGACAGTGATGCTCCCTTCTCAAGCAGCAAGAGGAGCTACCGTTGCCTTGATATTTTTTGGAGATACTGATCAAGTACTTGTTGTCTCTGTGGCGCAATCGGTTAGCGCGTTCGGCTGTTAACCGAAAGGTTGATGGTTCGAGTCCATCCAGGGACGTGCTTCATAACATTCTTAGGAGTGGTCGTATAACTGTAGCGTAAAGTAAATTTTACGACGGACGCCTTTTTTGAAAATTTCAAATACATTCTATAATAAATTCTTAACATTGAGGGCTTGCACGAAAATCGAACTCGCGACCTCTCGCACCCAAAGCGAGAATCATACCATGACCAGCAAGCCATGCTTGTCGGAAAAAGCGAGAAGTTTCCTTCACTGAGTTCGTCAGAATGAGAGAAACCTATGCTTGGGAGATATTTTTTACATCTAATTTGAAAACCAAGTACATGAGATTTTCTCAGTTGCTGTGATCGTATAGCGGTCAAAAAATTCCCTCATTTCCGTGCAAGCTCACAATGTGAAGGAATTTCTGTTTCAAACATCTATTTGAAATTTCAAAATAAATTCTAAATATGGAGAGGGTACGATTTTCTATTTTATGTTTGAAAAAGAAGGTTCATGACATTCAGGGCTTGCACGGGAATCGAACCCGTGACCTCTCGCACCCAAAGCGAGAATCATACCACTAGACCAGCAAGCCATGCTTGCAAATGAGAGGGAGAAGCTTCCTTCACTGAGTTCGTCAGAATGAGAGAAACCTATGTTTGGGAGATAATACTTGACATCTGCTTTTACAACAAAATACAGGAACTTTTCTCATCGATCGGCTGTGATCGTATAGTGGTTAGTAGATTGCGTTGTGGCCGCAATAATTGCCAAGGTTCGAATCCTGGTCACGGCCCGTATTAACGCGTTTGAAGCAATTTGCGGCTTTTCCCCCTATGTGATTATTTTGCAAATAGAAAATAGCTTGAGTAAATTATAAAGAGAAGACCAGTTTCGCTCCCTTCTCAAGCAGCAATAGGACACAGGACGAAAAGCGCAACTTTAATATGCTATTAAAGTAGCATTAATGCTGTATTTTATTCGTGTTTAGTCGCACTTAATGCGTTTTATTAAAGAGATTAAAGATACGTTTTAACACCTTTAGTTCGTTGCATTAAGTGTATTAACGACCACATTAATACCCAGAGATTAAAGTTCAATAAAGGATCTAAGTGTGCATTTAATTTGGCCGATTAAAGACCGATAAAATGCGGTTAAAAATGTATTTAGTCGCCTTTAATATTGGTAGAATTGTTGATTAAAGACAACTTTAATCATACAAAAATGTGTTGCTTATAGGTTATTAAAGTTAAATTTAATCAGCTGATTAAAGACCGCTTAAAGCGATATAAAGAATGAATTAATCACATTTCATACATTGATTAAACTTTGTGTAAGTGCCATTTTAGTTCTATTTAGTCGCTCTATTATATTTGCAATAAGTTGCAGCACTTGTGACGTTGGGCTTTTTATTGCGCTTTTTAAATTGAAAATCTCGAATTTGTGTCATATTTTCTGACAATACAGTATTATACAAAAACCCGATTACAAAAACCCGGTAAGAATATGTAAAAATCAGAGTAATCATTTGTAATGATGAAATGCAACATTAACTCAAATATACAACACGCGTTCATCTTTAAAATAAATTTATTATAACATATACATATACATATACATATACTACACCCGTTCATGTATGAAAATGAACTGAACTAAAATTATATATCGAACTGAAACATTTATAATAAGCCCAGACTAATCCTTTCTCGCATAGTGTTCTCACGTGCGATATTGTTATCCGCCGTTTACAAGGAAATATAGAAAACACTATACGAAAACGGATTTGTGCGGACAAAGACCCAGTATAAAAACGGAACCTAAAATTATCACGTTTTGAGATTGACTTTGTAAGATAAAAGTGACTAATGTTTGTGACTCGTTCTTTAGAAAATTCTTTTCAGCTGGCAAAAATTGTTGCCAATTTATGTAGAATACACTGTAAATTTCAAGGAGTCTGTATAATTAACTCCAAAATGTTATTCTGTTGTCGTTTTAGACCTTTTTGGTTACAAAATAAAACATTTTGAGTTGATTGAACTCCTTGAAATTTACAGTGTACACAGCTAATCCTAGTGATTCTTTAGCGATTCTTCTTTGCTTTCCCAGGCAAACTTTCGCACGTTGTACTGTTTCACCCTATAAGTTTCTTCGTCCATCTAGCTCACTTTTGTCGGATGACATGTACTCCATCGTCGGAGGCCATCTGCCACCTTTGACACTCTTTCCTGGCTCCAGTTAACTTTATTAAGATGTTTGAATGTTCTTGCCAGTTTCTAAAAATGAACACAGATAATATTAGCAACATTATATTGTATGGTAACAGCTAACTGAAAAAAGGTTATCCTTCGAAAACCTTAAACTCTAAGCACGCAAACAGTTGGGTTTAGGGCTTTTGATTTGGCAAACAATCCTAGTATGCTGCTATAGTTGTACATTATATTGCTTATGATCTATCTATCTTGTCATAGTTACAATACAAAATCCGCAAGTTTTAGGCCTAAGGCTAAGCAAGATAGGCCGGTAAGCAAGATCTTGCTCACACTGTGTAGTTATTTTTATAGTAAAAATTGCTGCGCATTTATATAGACAAGCGGGCTGCCAGATTGCCGAGATCTTGCTCGAAAGAGACGAGATCTCGCTTACTGCATGGATGGAAATTTCTGCATATAAACACTCACGAGCGGGCTATAGGCCGTTTTCCGGTATATATCAATAATAAACAATAAAATATATCAAACAGAATAACAAAATTGTCCCGGCAAGCGGGATGAATTTTTCTCATATAAACACAAGAGAAATTCATCCCGCATCTCGTACTGTCTGCAGGACAGTCTGGCTTCTATATATGCACGAACAGGCTACGAAGGCATTACCGTATATTGAGGCACTCGAATGTATGAAATTTAGGCAGCGTTTACACTGTACCGTTTTCGTATAGCGTTCTCGTATTGTTCGAGAGAACTAGACTATTGTCTTGCGTTCCCTTGAGGATTAAGAACAATACGAGAACGCTACGAAAACGGTACAGTGTAAACGCTGCCTAATACTGGCAATTTTAAGAAGCAGGTAATAATCAGTTGCATATAACATAATATAATTTAAAGAATAATTCGGTGAATCCATTGTGCTGTATTTAGCTAAAAAATACTGGACTGACTGGACTATACAGTGATATATGTATATGTCATTGATTTTGAAAATGATTTCAAATTTGGAGCCAATATTTCAAATAAACTGTATTTTTATAACGGTCAAATGGACAAAGTTTTTTTTATATCCATATACTGTACGAAGCAACGATGCATTGTCTGACAATTGTAAACGGAAATATACACTGTATAAATAAACGTTTCACATGTACTTACATTCCAAGTCTTGCCCTTGGGCACTCTCTGTATATTTTTTCCCGTTTGTCTGAGTGTCTGTCTCGTCCATTGAACTATAAATAAACTGGAAGGCTAACTGCTATGATGAAGGCCTATGATTTGATGAAGCCAAAATAGTTTTTCTGAGTTATGAGCAGAAATACTTGACCCCAAACGTCGGGCTATATATCAAATTGAAGCTATTGAAAATTGCTATTCGGTGTGGAAATTTCAAGACTTCAGCGAAAAGAAAAATCTTTAAAAAATACAAAAACAACTGCAAAACGGCAAATTATCGGTAATTATGTTTGTAGTTTTTCAATATTTCCCTTTTAGCTAAAGTTTTGAAATTTCTACACCAAATAGAGTTTTTCAATAGCTTCAATTTGATATATAGCCCAACGTTCAGTGTTGAGTATTTCTGCTCATAACTCAGAAAAACTAAAATGCACTGGCTTCAATTTCCCCCCCTGAGTTAGCCTTCCAGTTTATTTATAGTTCAATGGTCTCGTCTCTCAGAATAAGATCGAGTAATGATATCCATCTTCTCGTTGAAATTCTTCAGCGCATTCTCACTCCCTGTACTTGCATTGGCTATTATTTTGTTCTCTAAGAAGCTTGTTTTCCTCTACGATATTTTGCAACAACAAAACATACTGGTCCAGTCATATCGAAATTAGAGCTAGCAAGTATCGAACTGTGAGTGTGACAGCTATAAAGGCCAGACGTTTATTGTAAAAGCAACGGGAATTGGACTTCGAACAATAGTTCACAGTAGGAATCAGATTTCTTCTGTACACTAGGGAGGTCACCCACGTACAAATCAAATCCGCCTTCGTCCAAAAAGCAACGAGCAAAGTAAAAATTGGGCTTGTTAACATATAACTGAGTAATCCGCAAATTGATTCCATCCATAGTTCGTCTATAATCGTAAACGGCTTATGTTTACACAGTCAGATCGAGGTTTTATTACACAGCCTACAGGGGTCAGTTACCCGACCGGGAAAAGTTTAAAATAGCGCGCGCGGGAATATAGCATACAAATTATACCTACATAGAACCTCGCAGCGACAGTTTAATACAACAACCTTCAATTCTGTAAAGCTTTTGGTGGTATACCTTGCGCAAAGCCGGTTGAAATGGCGCATTTTAACCAGCATTCCCACACAGCGAGTGGCGCACTTGCTACCAGTGGAATGCGCAACCTTCTGGAATCTATAATCCCAGTGCCT